GGGGGAGCAGGAGAGCGGGAAGAGGAGGAAGCCGGTGAAGATGCTGTCGGCCCCGTCGGCCCCCAGGAGGTTGTTCTTTTCACTGGTCTCCAGCCACACGGTTTCGTCTTTCTGCACCTCCAGCACCACGCCCCCCGTGGTCACCTGGAAGACGTTGAGGACCTGGTCACAGAAGTTCACCACCTTCTGCTTGTTGGCGCCCGGTTTGCCCCTGAGGATGTTGATGCAGAGGTTGCCCCTGGAGGTGGTGTGGTAGGTGAAGTAGTAGACGCCGGGGTACTGGCAGGTGAACTTCCCCGTGAGGAGGTTGTACTGGTTGTTGACGTTGATGAGCGCCTGGTCAAAGCGGAGGGGTTGCTCTCTCCGGGGGAGGCCTTGGCTCGTTTTCTTCACGGCAAAGGCGGAGTGGACCTCCGTCTTGTATTCCCCGGAGTCCCCCTTCCTGCCTTTCTGACCTGATGCCCCAAAAGGCCCCAAGCGGGCGGGTTGCTCGCTCCGGGGGAGGCCTTGGCTCGTTTTCTTCACGGAAAAGGCGGAGTGGACCTCCGTCTTGTATTCCCCGGAGTCCCCCTTCCTGCCTTTCTGACCTGATGCCCCAAAAGGCCCCGGGGGCCCCATTGGACCTTTAGGTCCCACCTTTCCAGGGTTTCCCGCTGACCCGGAGTCCCCTCGATGTTCCTCCTTGTTCCAGCCTTCAATGACACCAGGTGACCCTACAAAATGAGAGACATTAGAGTCTACATGGAGGCCACCATTCTCACCATCATCTCCTTCCTGATTGGAGGCCTTGTCCTTACCCATGTCACCCTTCACCCCGTCTACTCCGTCCTTTCCATCCGGCGCGGGAATGCCGGGGACACCTGGTAACCCTGGCATGTTGGCCTGGCAGCTCTGTGCCTCTGAGAAGGGAATGGATAGAAGAATGAGGCCGAGTCTGAGCAGCCTCCCCCAGACCTCCATTGTAGAGTCCGAGCAGAACACAATCTGGAAGGAAAATATACA